GTGCATGCCATTCCTGTCTGCAACATACGCATTGCGAGTGTCCAGAGAGGGGCGATGCAGACAAGATAAGTGTCACAAGGGCACACAAAACATACAGATGGAGGGTATTGCAACACGTTCATCTATGGCCACATACGAGGTCTCTACTCGTAATAGTAGGAGAGACAAAGCCAAAGCCTGGAATGAATTTGCATGCAAGTTCAAAGTTCGCAACGTAACACGAGGATCAACGCGGCACGGACTAGGCAGCGCAGTTTCAACAGGGCGAACATGAAAGAGTGTTTGATGACACCGGTCAAGTTTTATTATTTCCATCGTGTCTCGTAGGATCTCATCTTCCGAATGACAATATCCCCGGCCCTTACCTCTACATCCCGGGATAGGCCCCGACCCGCAAGGTTCTTCCTCAAGATCGGCAGGACGAGAGGAAGCTGTGATGGCCAAAATGCAAGTCGCGGTGGGCAGGAGCGAGAAACAGGACGATTAAATAGTGTGCTGCGATCCTGGTTGCCATGCTGGATGCCGTGAGCAAAATCATTTGCGCTGGCAGGACTGGGCCTTCCGTTTGCACCACCTTTCCATCGGGTCGTCCTCTGACTCGAGATCGAAATTGTATATGGCAATCCATTGCAATGACATTTATGGAGATTACTGTCCACTGTCTTGCTATGAATATGTGTTCAGTACGAGAGCAAATCCATGCGGGCCCACTCTCAGAGGAAAACTGAGCAGGCTGGCTTGTCTTACATTACTCCTTTGTTCTTTTTGTTTTCATTTCACTATCTACAAATGCAGGGCCAAGACATATATAAAGAGGAGGTGCCAGGCAGTAGCAGTTCGTGAGCATGACCTCTGCACTCGTGCATGCAATCTCTATCTTGTACCTTTACTTTTTTGTTCTGGATGGTCACCGTGATGAATAGACGGCCCTCAACCTTCTGATATCTCGTCATCATGCCTCGTTTCCCATCGGCCTCCAATCCCGATTATGCGCACACGGTCTCGGCCGCATGCACTTTGTTCACCTATTTGTATTTTATCTATTTGTTGATTATTTTTTATCCGCGTCATCCTTTATTTATTCCTCCAGTCTCTCTTCCTCAAGTTTACGTAGGCGGTTCTGTTCTATTTTGATTTTCAGTCAAGTCTCATATAACCAGCATGACCGCCAACTCAGCCTTGGCCGCAGAAAAGGCGGCCATGCAACCCACCCTCACCCACCTCACCCTTTTTTTATTGTCATCGATGTATCTGGCACGGGCCGACCAGTTGGTGACTAAAATGACAAGGAGGGAGGAGAGGACGGGTGACTGAGCCAGCCAACCTTAAACCAGCATGACATGTTAGCAACTAGGTATAGAGAAGACCCTTTGGCGATTCAGCCGCTAATCTCTGTCGCCATGATTATGTTTATGAATTATATCAATGTGTTTATTATGGTCGTCTTGGATAAACCAAGGTTGTTTCTTTCTTTCTTTCTTTCTTTTCTTTTTTTTAAAAAATTTAAAAACCTATGCTTGTATATGATGCTACCTTACTTGGCAAGGTTAGTAAGTCTACTATTTAAAACAGTTTTCGAAGAATTTCGGCCAAGTACGGCACAAACGTAGATAAACAAAACAAACTAAAATCACGAAAGCAATGCAACTGTAGATTTTAAACGACTCGGCCTTGAATTTACAAAGTTTCCCAGGCTCCTCCTTCTGTCGACGTATATCACTACTGTGCTTTTTTAGAAGCCAACCTTGGCCCTAAAGTAAGCTTGGATCTGGTCAACACGTTCGGCTGAAATGGTGTAAATGGGGTGCACGGTACACACGCGGTCTTCCTCGTCAAAGACCTGCATCCCCCCTTCATCAGAAAATGGGAAAGGCGAGGCTTTCCAGACGGGTTCGGAGTAGTTGTTGGCCCCTGCATCGACGCCAGCCTCCACATCCGTCTCGGTGGCCGGTTTGTCGACCAGCTCCCACTTGTGCTGAGCGGAGCTCAGACCCGATAGGACATAGCAGGTGTGGTACGGGTCTGACATCCTGCAGGACAAGAATTGTTAGCTTCGTTCCCTCGAAAGGAAGACAACAAACACTTGAACATTATTTTTTTTTCATAAACACACCGTCCTGGCTTGTCTCTGAGGCCACCGCGTTTCGTCTCATCCTGACAGCAGCAGAGAATGTAGCGGATCAGGCCTTCACGGCTGAACAGAGACTGTGGCGGTTTCGGAACGCCATCGCTGGACCTCTGGAGACTGGCCTCGACCAGGGGCCAGCAGTCACCGACCCAGTGGCTGTAGCACCCGTCAACAAGCTTGTTCGTGCGCCCCGAGAAGCCGCCTTCAGGGGCGTACTGGCGCGATGCCAACCAGGACACAAGACGGGGCACGTTGAGGTATCTAAATGAGGTTAGATGAGTGATTTCTCAAGTGGCAATAAGCAACACGACAAGCGAAAGTGTCCAAGCCCGGACAGACTCCAAACCGTTCTCGATCTCGCCGCCACCACCGCAACAACAAAAGTCACCACAGAGGCAGCCACGGCCTGCTGCTACCACACCCATAGGGGGCACCGGAAGACCAGATCGGGCCCCATTTATGCATGAGTTGTTGTCACTCCGTGAATGGCCAGTCCCAGGACCCTCATTCTCAACTTCATCATTTTTTTCTTTTCTTTTCTTCGACCACACCGTCTTCGTCTCCTTCTCTGAATCGTCTCCGCCTCCTCATTAAACGAGGGCATGGTACATACCGCGGAATGGATCGGTTGGGTGAGTCTAGAATAGACAGACAGCCCAGGGCACAGAATGCATACCCGCCGTGGGCTTCCGAGCCTGGCTGTGCCGATATGCCGCCCTCGTATGTTTGGCCTGTGGTTGGCAGATTGTCCCCTCCGGTTAGCAAAGGCAAACAAGGATCAAAACGGTCATGCAGGACAAAACAGGACGAGCATGGTCAATAAACAAAAGGTGGGAACCAAAGAATAGATATGCACGACATCTGCCACGTAGGCAACGCAGCAAGCAGCAGGGATGATCGGAGTGAGTGGCAAAGAAAGGGAAGAAAGGAAATAACCTACACCGCTGCACATAGTTAGCAAGCCCCGTGTAGAGCGTTGGCTTGTCGGACGTCCAGGCGGGCGAATCCGGGCTCAAGTCCAAAGGCAAGTTCAGGATCGAGATGATGACTGCCGCGCAATAAGCTCCTCTGTCGAAACTCAATGTCAGCTTTTGCTTTGTCGAATCCATCCACTTCCTCACTTATCTCGCACTCTAGATCCCATTGTTCCATCTTACCTGACGTCTTCCTCGCCGCCCACCGACATCTGGAAACCACCATCCGGCTGCTTCAGTGCACACAACCATTTCCACAAGGCCCGCCGGTCAATGGCCTCATAGCAAGCCTCGCCACCCACAATGGCCAGCCCCATTACCACGGCGTACGTCGTAGCCAGGTGCGATGACTGCCCGTGGCCGCCACCGAAGCCACCGGACGCGTTCTGCATCGACCGCGCCGTCTCGACCAGCCGTGCACGATACGGCGTCACATCTTCGCCCAGCAAGCGTAGACCGTTGAGGCACCAGAACAGGAACCAAGGCCGACTGGGGTCATAGCCGACAAATGTGCCTGGCAGTGGCTCCAGGCTCTTGTGGAGGAAGCGAGCGTGACGCTTGCGGTCGAGGCGCGGCACGCCGAACTCGTTGAGCGGTGGATCGCCGCTCTGGACATTCTGCCTAAAGATGTCCGTCAGGCACATCTGGGCCGTGCTTTCCTGCATCTCAGAGGTGTCTGTGATGAGGCGGTCACGCACCAGCGGCATGTGGGTGAAGTACTCCGGGATCATGACGTCGGGCTGAGTCTGGACTGGGCGGTAGGGAAACGTGTTGCTGCTGCTGCTGTTGTTGTCGTGACTGTCGTACCGGCCACTTGTGATGGGAATCTCTTCGTCTACGGTGTCGTCTGGGTTTGACGCCATGGCTGGTACCCACCGGAGCGTCGCGCTGCTCTTCTTTATAAACACCGCCCTGTGGCGGTAGCGAGTAGTCCTGGACCGCGCGCTTGCGCTGACCATGTGTGTGGGCACGGATGCGTAGTGAATGAGAACAATAGCAAATGTAGCGCTGGTAGAATCACCAGCTGGAAGATCTCCCTTGCAGTTGCTTCTTACTATTGTTCCTGTCGCTGAAAGGTCCCTTGTCTGTTGGCGCCGACTACCGGTTTTCGGTCTCCTTTTGCTGGGTAGGATTTCGGCCACTGGCGGCGAAACCGAACGGCCTGAATTCAGTAACAGAGTGTGGAAATGTGCATAGAAGCAATGAAAGCAGAAGACAAGGCACCAAAGTAAGAAATTCCAGATTGAGCAACCCTAAGCTGAGCTAGTCTTTCGTCGAAACTTGAGAAAATGTTATGAGTTTGTTGGTTCGTACTGTGCGGTTGTGAAGGATGCGTTTGTTGATGGTCGTAGCCGTGCGGTGTTGAAAAAATATGATTAAAATTTTAAAGAAAAATTTAGGTCCATCCCTAAAATGCGTGTATTGGGTATGAAAGTGTGCGAGACGGCATCACAATTGAGATGTAAAGCTTCATAACGAGACAGGACTTTGCTCGTGCTTTCTATCGCACCTGCCAAAGCTATCGTAGTCCAACCGTGCAAAGGGCGGAAATATGGCACTGTTTGCACTGTGTTAACCTGACAAGCGCCACACTATTGCGCCACAGCACCCGTCTGTCTGGCACGCCCCATTCGCTGGGGCGCCTCCATCAACAAATTGCTTGCGAAGCCCACATGGACGAATAGCCTCAAATTTCCGATCTGCATGAGTCGACGACTGAGAAACCACCAGTCTTGCACATCCCACGCTTTCTGGGGTCATTTTTGCGCAACGTTCAAGCGATCTATTTGGTTCAATCTTCTTCTCAACATTTGAAAGCCTTCTTTCGTTTCTGTCCCATTGGCCCACCGCTTTTCCCCCGGTTGGCGCTTCTTATTTTGTTCATTTGCACATCCCAAATGAGGCCATCATCAGTTGCTTGCGTGACAGCACCATCTCATCGAGCCTCCCGCCCCGGAGCTGAGGCCACCCTTACCGGATTACGCTCGCCACCACCTAGCTATGGACAGTATGCCGCCTGCAACACTGTGTCTCCTTGTGTATGATCTCAGCTAGCCCCGTCGCAGGCCACCGCCGCAGAGGGAGATAGTGCCGACAGTTTTTAGCTTCACTTCGGCCGCTTTTTCTTCTCACCTTGATCTGAGATTGGATCTCACTTTGCCCTCACCTCGCGCCCACGCCTAAACCGCGTGTGACAGTCTCCCAGTGCCGCGCCACCGAAGTCGGTGTCAACGCCATGGCCGCTACAAACAGCAACATGGCCGCTGGGCTGGAGGCCAGCGAGGCCGAGCAACATTGGCTGTAGGTCTTCGTTGTTTATGCCTGGTTTGTTTTATGCATTGCACAGTATCTGACGCCCTTGCAGTGAAGCCAAGAAAACCATACACTCCATGGTCAAAAAGCTGGAGCAGATTGATAAAGACGAGGCCGGAAGCAAGAAGCTCCTCGCCGAGCTCGAATCCGTCGAGCATATGCTGGAAAGGTAGGGTGCAAGGCGTCCTTCTTTTTTTCTCTCCCTTTTTTCTCTCTTTTTCTCTTCTGCTTCTTCCCTCGTCCTTTGCCTTCCCACTAACACGCTGCCTATCAGCCTCCGTCTTGCGTGCATGGCTACGACCTTTACGGACTTTAAATTTTCTCACAACAACCGCGTGCTCGACCGGCTGTGGCACGTCCACACTCTTATCAGCACCGAGTACAAAAAGGGTCTGCAGCGCCACCGCGGCCAAGGTCAGATTGTGCAATTTCGCACCATCGAGAAGCAGTACGCCAAACACCTCAAGACTGCCCAGTACTTTTACAAGGGCTTCATCGAACGGCTGTCTGCCCGCTACCGTCTGCGATCGCTCCAGCGCGTCGCCCATGCGATGCAGTCGGGCAACCTCAAAATCAGCGACGTGATCGATGCTGACGAAGCCCATCTAAGCGACGAACTGACCATGGCCTGCTACCGCACAGTACTGCATATGGGCGACATTGCGCGGTATCGTCTCAATGCATCTCGCCAAAAGGGCCACAGCCCGGATGTGGCCATGACGTATTACGCACTAGCTCAGGATCTCATGCCGCAGGAAGGCGATGCCCACCACCAGATGGCCGTTGTGCTCGCCGAGCAGCGTCGTGACTTTGACGTTGTCTATCACTTTCTGCGTTCCTGGTCCGTGCAGAAGCCTTTTCCACTGGCCCCAAAAAACCTGGCATCAGAGTTTAAGAAGCTTTTGCAGCCGCCCTCCAACTCTCGCAAGACTGGTAATGCACCACCGGACGCTCACGATCTCTTCGGCACCTGGCTCGTGCGCCTCCACGCCAACTATTTTAAGGGAGAGGAGTTTTCCTCACAAGGCGAGCTAGAACGGGAGGTCCTGCATCGCTGGGAGGCACTGCTGAGGCAGTCAGCACAGCCTGCCTACCTGCAAAAGGCCGTGCTCATGAACATCGCGGCATACGACATTGCCCTGAAGAGAGTGCAGTGTGAGTAAAGCACGAGCTTCACTTAGCCTATGTTGTTTGCCATAAACTAACGTCCACAGATGAATGGACAGCAGCAAGCTCGCAATCTTGTCAGTTCATCCTTCAGTTCATAGTACGCACTATCCTCGTCCTCAGTCGGGTTCTTGAGACAGAAACACAACGTTTCTTTGAGGAGACTGCGTTAGAAGACGAGCCAGAGGCTGTACCGACACCTGCCACGCCTGCATCCGCCAAGAAAACATCGCCTACACCCGCCGAAAAGGGCGACAAAAGTGACAAGAACTCCAGACACAACGGCCGCAATCGGGGTGGCAACAGCAACAACAACAATACAAATGCCAAGAAGCCCACGGATACCGACGTCCAGAAACAGTCCGTATCCGACACGTGCCTATCGCTCTTCCGTGTCTGCGTGGCATGGATTGCCACCCACTACGAGGATCTCGTCAAATTCGAAGGGCACCTCACTCCTTATATCGCAGACATGCATCGGTCCGTGACCCGGTGCCTGAATCTTTTTGTCGAGCTCATCACCAAGACGGAGGCGTCACCCACAACTTACCTCCTCCCCGAAGACGTTGAAGTCATCGGCCTCGCGACCCTCGACGGCTGGACCGCACTCCGGGAAGGCGATGCCAACAGCGCATTCAAGCCGCGCTTTGACGAGGAAGGTGTCGAGCGTAAAAGCAGCACGTACGAAACAATGGCCCGTATCTATGACGTCGTCGAGTGCACGGTGCGTCTCATCGGCGACCCTTCGTTCCCATGGGTTATCGAAAATGCACAGGAAGATGGCCGCAACGTGACCAAGATCTCTTACTCTGAAGATCGTACGTCAGCACCCGCGCCTGCGATTCCCCTCATGTCGATCCCAGCCACTGCCTCTATGGTGTCCGCCTCGTATGCAGCTGCTTCAGCTACCCCCAGCTCTGCCAGTCCAGCACCTGCTATAAAGCGGCAGGCGCCGTCTTCAGATCGCAGCCGCGAGCCACGCAATCGGGGCCAAAGACCTGCCGAAGTCACTCAGTCTGTACCCGCCGAGGCAGCCCCTGTTGCCACTGCTGCGCAATTCGGACAGCCCACGATCAGCTTACCAATAAATGGTCTCGTCAATGTCTCTCACCCGGCTGACTCGCGTCCCATGCCCCCTCCTCGGCGTGTGAGCTACAAGGACATGGATGACGACGACTTCCTGCCAGGGTCCATGAAAGAGCCTCCTTTTATGCCACTAAACAGAATTGCAGCCGCCCCGATTGGCACCGGCCATGACCCCACCACCACTACGACCGACTCGGAGCTCGATTTCCTTGAATCGGCCGCCTACAGCCGCGTCGCCAACTTCTTGACCCCGCCTGAGCTGAATCCCCAGCCGCCACAGGTGGCTGCGGCTCACAACATGTCGCCGTCGTCGCCGTCGTTCGGCATGCACTCATCCACCGTCGACGACGTCTTTGGTCAACTGCAAACACCCAGCATACCCAACGCATCCAGCTCCATGTCGCCAGCCGCTAAGCCGATTCCGAGCTCACCTTGGGCCGGCAGCAGCTACATGCACTCACTTGGGTACTACCCTCAGCAACAGCAGCAGCAGCAGCAGCAGCAACAGAAACAACAGATGTCGTATAGCATGTCCAACATGGACCGCCAGCCGACGAGCATTGAAGACCAACTGGCATACTTGACGCTCGCCAAGGAGCAAGAACGCCAGATGACGACGGCTGCCGCAGCTGCTTCGGCCGCTGGTGTTCAGATGCAGACATCCTCGTCATCGTACGGTATAGACAGTTCCCGCGGTTTTCCCAGCGCTCTGTCTCCCGTCGGCGCAGCCAAGCAGCAGCATCACAGCCCGAACGGTGGTGGCCCGGCTGGGTTTGCCAATCCTTGGGCGACGACTGGTGGCGGCGGCGCGATCGGCGGCAATCCCAACGGCTCGCGTCTGCGTCCTCAACAGCTTCAGCAGGCCCAGGCGGCGTCGCTCGGTGTTGGAGGGGCCGTCGGTGCCGTCGGCGGCATCGGCTTGGGCCTGGGCGGCATGAGCAACCAGCCGGCTCCTGGCTCCTCTCCGGCCATGCTGTACTCAAGCAACTTTAGCATGAATAACAGCATGCCGTCGGTGCAGAGTTCGCGTGCTCCTGGTGGAGGCAGCGGCGTCTTTGATAGCTCGTACGAATCCATCTACGGCTCCCGCGGAACCGACAACGACTACCAGATGCAGCAACAACAGCAGTTGCAACAGCTGCATATCCTTCAGCAGCAGCATCAGCAGCAGCAGCAGCAGCAGCAGCAGCAGTTGGCTGCGTACGGCGGTTACGGAGATTTCAATGTTGCCGACGACAGGATCATCGGCAGCGGCAGTAGTGCCCCGATTGCGTCTCCCTCGTCCAACGCGATGTGGCAAGATGCAGCCACCGCCTGGGGCCGTGGCATGCCACTCGGCAAGGACGACCCGACGCATTTCCGCAACACGATGCGGCAGTCGGGCCTCATGGAGGACACGAATGCGTACGATCGCAATGCGCTGCTGAGCGCCCTGGACGAGGAGGCCGGCTCAGCCCAGCCGCGGTGAAGGCAATTAACGACAAGGAGGGGGAGTTGGTCGCCTTTACGAGTCAGAAAGACGAACAAGACAACGGCAACCCGATATTGATACTCAGTTCGGCAACGTATTCTATGGGCGTGATCTGTTTTTGTTTCATATTTTGGGTCGAGCTACGATGCTACCCAAACCACATAATGAAGTTGAGGGTTACTTTGTCTTTCGAACTGGGACCGGCCAGGGGGCTGTCTTGATTGATGCGATGGCGCGATGTGACACGAAGCAATCCACACACATTAAAGATCAAACTGGGGCGATATCATGGCCTGTTGCAGTGGGGAAAATAATTTGTTGTTGACCGAGCTAGAAATGTAATTATCTGGTGTACTGTCTATGTAAATACGATGCCATTTTCACACCTATTGTCCTTATTTGTTTAATACGCTAATACCACTCACCAGGCCGTATCGCTCTTCCTTTTTGAAACTTGTCGACTATCAATAATCAGGAGGATATCATAAGTTGAATTTTTTGTCGTAGCAGTTCATTGCTGCTTTAGAACCTTCCACGTTAAGCAAAAAGGTCCAGTGCCCGTCTCTTTGCTCGCGGGATAGCCACATGCTACTCATGTTGGTCCCCGCTCCGCATTATCTATGTAACGTATAAATGTCCGTCGTAAAACAAATGGTAAAATCATAACCTCCATGTTGTTGAAACCTTTTACAAGACGCCAGTGCAAATTTATGGCAGTCCTCGTTTTGGGTAGACTCCCCAAAATAAAGAGCAAAATATATATAAAAAAAATTCACAGACCATATTTGCAGTCCGCATTTATGCCTTCGGGGTGAAGGTCTGCTTCGGGAAGGGGTACGAGGCGCCGAGCTGGGTCAGCGACAGGCTGGCCAGCCACTGGCCCTGGTCAATGCAGACATCGAGCGTCTTGCCCTCGATGAGGCCGGCCACGAAACCAGCAGCAAAGGCGTCGCCGGCACCCAGGGTGTCGACAATGTCGTCCTTGGCAATAGCGCGGACAGGGTACTCCTTGACCTCGGTCTCGCCCTGGACGGCGACCAGAGTGGGCTGGCTGCCGTGCGTCACAATGGCGACACGCTTGCGCTTGGTGTTCTCCTTGGGCAGGTCGGCCATGTACTGGGCAATCTTCTTGAGGTCGGCCGTGGTGGCCGTGCCATCGACGTCGGCCAGGTCAATGTTGCTGACGCCGTGGGTGTTGCCAAAGGCGGCAGCCTCTCCCTCGTTGCCGAGGACAAAGTCGAGGTAGGGCAAGGTGGCATCCAGAGCGTCCTTGAAGGCGAGCGGGATGAAGGGGGCCGAGATGGACAGAACAAAAGTCTTGTCGTTAGCCGCGGCCTCCTTGGCCAGGGCCATAATGGCCGGTGGGCACACCGTCAAGTGGTAGCCACCAATGTAGAAGGCCTCGGCGCTCTGGACAAGGGACCAGATGGCGGGCGACTGCAGGTGCTCGAGGTCGTAGTGGTTGGCGGCACCGAGGTCGGTGACCATGGAGCGGTTGCCAGGGGTCACGACGACGGCGCAACGGCCAGTAGGCACCTTCTCGTCGACGCGGTACTCGACACGCAAACCGGCCTTCGCGGCCGTCTCGCTCAGGATATCGGCGTACTTGTCCTTGCCAACACCGCCCAGGAAGACGACGCTGTCATCGGGCAGGATGTACTGAGCACCACGGGCGGTGTTCTGGGCAGCACCGCCTGCGGAGAGGGCGGCCTTGCGGTTGTTGAGGAAGTCCTCGTAGATGCCGAGGTGCTGGGGCTCAGCAAGGATGGCATCGTTCGCCTTGATCTTGTAGGTGTCCAGAGTAGCCTGGTCGCCGTCGGCAATGATGTCTGCGAGCTGTTAGTGGGGGGAAGGGGGGCATTGTTGATATTCATTGAAAAAGAGGAGGATGGAGAATCAGCAACGTACCGAGGAGGGGGTTCTCCAGACACAGGAGGCGGAAGTTCTTCTGAGCAGCCATTGTGGACAATTGGGTGAGGTAGGCGGTATGTGAGGTAAGGGGAGGGCGCTGGTGAGATGGTGAGTTCGGAAAACGACAGAAACGGGAGAAGCGAGAGAAAGAAGAGGTCGAGGTCGAGAAGCGGGAGGGACGACACAGTGAGCTGCTGCTGTAGTTCCAATTCGGCAGGATAGCAGTAGCGGGGTTACGGACACAACCTGTAATAGTACTGAGCCAACAGGGTTTTCTCGCCAGAGTGGGGCAGCAAGGTTGGCCAGCAAAAGCGACTTTGGTGACCACGGCAGATGAGGATTTTAAAGTCGAGAACATGGTTGGAATCAATCAATAGCTAGAAATAAAATATGGAGGCTGTCGGAAACGTGGACGAGGTGGACAGATCGTTCGTTTGTTGTCTGGGCTGCAGGTCAGCAGGTCATAGATTTGGCCGTTGAACGCCAACCGAACTACTAAAAGACAAAAAAAAAAGTGCAGTCACAAAGGAGCAGACTCCGCACCATGCGCATTGCTTTGCACACGCAAACATATGAGAGTAATTCTTTTTTATTTTTGAGAATATAGCAGAATGGCGCCTGTTCCCGGTCGTATCTTTCCCAGGCCCCCAACTACCCCAGCGCACCTGAGTCGGCACCGGCACGACAAAGCACGGCGCTGTCCGCTGGAGAGAAGAGCCCCGGAACTCCCGCCCGAAGGTTTTCATGTTTCAAAAATATAGACAGTATTCTTTTTCGATTTTAAGAAGTCCAATGCCCGTAACCGTATCCTCGCCTTGCGTTCTCATCCCAACGGCAAAAAAGTAACCCCTTTAGTCCTTGACCTTCTGGGTACCACGCAGCAGACCCGTTCTCCGCGCAGCAATAAGACCGGCCTTCTGGCCCTGGGCGGCGTATCTGGAGATGGTCGAGGCCTTACCGATATGCTGGTGGTTACCACCACCGTGAGGATGGTCGACGGGGTTCATGGCCACACCACGGGTCTTGGGCCAGCTGTTGCGCTTGACAGCGAACTTATGCTTGGCACGCGAAGCCTCTGTTGTTTTTGTTAGTAATTGGTACGGAGGGCTACACAGAATCATTCACGAGTGTCGATGGAACGTACTCAGCAGGGGCTTGTCAGTACGGCCACCACCGGCAACAATGCCGATCATGCCGCGGGCCTTGCTGCTGACGACCTTCTTGGCGCCAGAAGGCAGCTTGATGCGGGTCTTGCCCTCATCGGGGTTATGGCCGACAATGGTGATGTAGTTGCCAGACGTGCGGCCCAGAGCACCGCGATCGCCAGCGCGCTCCTCAACGTTGGTCACGACGGTACCCTCGGGCATGGAGCCCAGGGGCAGGATGTTGCCGATGGTCAGGGTGGCGTTCTTGCCGGCGTAGACAAACTGGCCAGTGTACATGCCCTCGTTGGCAATCATCGTCTCGGTGTGGAGCTTGAACCGGTAGGGGTCGCGGAACGAGACACGGGCCAGAGGAGCGCCCCGGCCAGGGTCGTGGATGATCTCGCGAACAATGCCGCGGATGTAGCCGTGGCGTTCGGCATAGTCGAGCTGGCGGAACTTGGCGGGGTTCTTACGGAGGCGAGTGATCTGTCAAGTGTGTGAGTGTTTGCTCTTTTGTCATCTGGTCTCCTTCTCCATTTATCGTCTCCGGCCGCGACGCCACAGAATGGACCATCGACTCTGCCAACTCAAATCTTCCTCGCCCATTCCTCATGATCCTCTCTGTTCTTTGATCGGGGGAAAGTAACGTACGGCCTTGAAGATGCCGCCAGCGCCCTTGCGCTGATTGCGAATAACGCGACCCATGGCTCCGGATTAATAAAATGGGTATCGGAGTCCTGCAAAGAAGAAAAGAAACAGTTGTTTAGCAAATACTCCGGAAGATGAAGCAGCAACGCAATGTCGTCGTCGGCCGTCGTCGAGCGAGTACCCAGAGCGTGCAAAACTGTCGTCCGATGTATCGTGGTTCCAAGAAAAAAAAAATCGTCGTGTTGCTCAGGCGACAAAAGTCGCAACCGCAAGCCGAAAAATCCTTCTTGTCGATTCTGTCGAGACGCGTGTCGTGCACACAATGAATAATCGAGCGACGAAGCCGAGGCGATCAAGATATCGTGCGAATGTAGGGGGTACTGGCTTACCCGTTTGGATGGTTGATGGTGGTGATTAGGTAGACGGAGGAAAAAGTTGGAATTTTCGAGATGCACCCGCTTCGTCGATTCTTTTGCGGGAGTGGGAGAGTGGACCACCACACAAGGACCACACCAAAATAATTTTTTCATCTCTTGGGGGCTTTAGTCTCAATCAGGGTTGCCCTAAAATATTAGTCATCCAACAAAATGGCACCAATTTTTCCGCCCTGGCCAAAATTGTCACGTGCAGTTTTCTTTATCGATAACAGATGTCGTACAGCGTTAACTACAGTGTGTGCTTTATAATATCACTGTGTTTAAGTGGATCGTTGGGCCCCACTCAACCGTGACTTTGACGCGCCCATACCCACACCACTTTTGGACTTCACTTGCTCATGGCAACTCATATATCATTACTATTCCCACCCAACGTCTACAACAGAAACGTCGCGTACACGATACCTGAGTTCCTCTTTTTCCTTGTCATTTCAGGTGTGCTGAAAAGTGTGGTCCTACTTGACGAATGCGCGTCACTGCCAATCACCGGGCACAATAATATCACTCACAGCACGAGGTATTATTATTTTCAAGCTTTGATATTCCTGAGTATCAATTTAATGTTCTTGCAAACTTTTGTTAACATCTCAGTGTCTATAAGTGGAGATTTTGTTGTTTTCGTGGTCTTCATGCTCCAGATCAGAGGCTTTCTCACCAACCGTGATAAGGCGAAACCAGACGTCTCAAACCTCTCCAAATCCGTTTTTGACCTCAAGCGAGTTATCGGCGGGCATGAATGCTACTCCTTGGCTTGTACTTCATGCCCAAGTGAGATGGGATATTCTGACAGTTGGGGTGTTGCTGCTCCACAAGCAAACACCTGCATGGCAAGTGCCTCCCAGCTGCTCCGACTGACGGCCCTGTTCAAGTGGCCCAGGCTTGCAGTAACGACACTGAGATTGTGACATTGCGGCGGTAGAGAAGGTGCTACCTCGACGACAAATGGTGTGCACCTGGGTTGATAGGACTCAACAAACTTCACTCAGGTTTGTCTTCCGTTGCTGCACTTTCTTCCCTTTATGCCTCCTGGGGGGCGGGGTTGAATTTGGTTCCTTCCAAGCATGTTTTTGTGGCCCTGTGTCTCTCACAACTTGTCACCACCAGCACCATGAACGCAAGCCTATCCGAATGCATTTCCAGATTTCACGCATAGCCCAATGTCGGTGGTATGGTCTACCTGGGCAGAATGCAGGTGTACGTCGAAGCCGATACTGTGGTTTGGGTAGGCGTGGCACACAAGAAAAAATATGAATGTTTGATTTTGCTGAGAATGATGGAACCGCAACATTCGTCAGTTGAGATATGTGTGCCGCTATGATACCGACGTTGAATGTGTTTGCGGCACTGGCCATGCAGTGCGAGACGTCCTGGCTCAAACCGTGCACAATAACTGATAAAGATGTGTCTGTTATGGCTGGCAGCAAAAGGTGTATGGCGCGCCTAACAGCCAAAACAGAAAAGTGACCGTGGCGGGATTTGCGTTGCGTTCTGTGTGGTTGGCCCCTTCCTAAAAAGGTCGCAATCTGCTCCGTAGTTGTAGAGTGGTAAGATGCGCGGCTCTCCTTAGCTCTTTAGTCCCAAAGGGCAATTGCGACCTTTTTCTTGGCCCCTTGCCCTTTGCACTTTCCCACATAACTCTTCCCTGCGACTTCCCAATCAACATTTTTTTGAAAGCATCTTTAAATTTCGCCATCGGCAAAATATCATTTTCGACGCACGCGCCCGTTGTGACGCGCATCTACCATACTTGTATTGTCATCGCGCGACGGCGGTGTCTCCTTCCCCGCGACACGTACCTTGGTCGTCCGAACCCGTGGCCTCGCAACCTCGACGCGTCTCGCAAAGACGCCCATTTGGACGCCACACTCCCTTTCCCAGCGAGATCGGCTTCGGCACGTCAAATAAGCAAGACAGCGCGACAAAAGGCAAAGCAGACTGGATTTCTAGGAACTCGACACGACTTGCAACGTCAGCACGCAAATTCACAAGACCAACTCCTCCGTTTCTTTCCCCGTCACCTTCTACCATGTCGTCCGACGACGAGCTCTCTGACCTCTCGTCGCTGTCGTCGCTCTCTCCAGCTCCCTCCGACGACGAGTCTGACCTCCAATTGCGCCCCGAGAAGGGCATTCTCAAGTTCTTTCACAAGGTGCCCAAGCCCAAGACGACAATCAAGCTCACAAACAAGAACAAGGGCAAGGCCGCTGCCCCAACCGCAGCGAGCGTGGCCAAAAAGAACAAGAAAAAGGCGAGCGGAGGGGATGTCGACAAGAAGCAGGACGATAGCGACGATAACGACGCGCCGGCAGCTAAGCGCGAACGGGAACCGTCGCCGCCGCACGAGTACGTGCTCGCGGACAACCAGGACATTGCTGTAAGTACTCATCTGCTTTTCTGAATACCAGACGCGAAATGACGCGTACAGACCGCTTTTTTACGAGTTAATAGACGGAAAGCTTACCCATGATGCCTACCACCAGTTCATCGTTCTGTTCCGCAACCGCTTTGCCGAGGCCTTCTCGAAGAACATGGTCAACTTCGGTCCCCAAGAGCTTGAACGCGACATTGTCGATAGCGTACCCAGCGAGCGCGTTGAGTACTTCCTGTGCGCGTTGCTCAAGCTTCTGTTGAACCGCCAGCAAGACGTAAAGTGAGTATTGCGCATCCTTTGTCTCCCTCCGCGCTCTATTACTAACTGATGCCCTCTCTTTGCAGACCCGGCCATTACCACCGCGCCCTTGAAGAAGCCATCCAGTCGCACAAGTCGCAATGGGTCTCCGCTTGGAAAGAGAACCCTCTCGCCGACGGCAAGACGTTCCAGACTATGACACCCGCCGAGCGCCTCACATTGCTTCGCGCCCTAGTCCTGTGGGCCATGTCCTCGTCCAAGGTTATTCGCGACATCATCGACCAGTCATACAAGGGCAAGCGGAAAGATGAGGACGCCGACGTATCTGTCTCTGTCCAGTCATGGGGCAACGACAGTGACAAGCGGCGCTACTACCTTGTTGAGGGCCGCGACGACACGGCGTTCCGTGTCTATCGCGAGAGCAACCCGGCCGGCTTCATCAATCGCACATGGTGGAGCGTCGCGGGTTCCATTGACGAGATCAAGGTGCTGATTGAGCGGCTCGAGACACACGACGGCGGCCCCAAGGCCCGGAAGCTGGCCAAGCGGCTCCAGGACGAGATCCCTCGCTTCGAGGCGACCGAGGAGAAGCGTCGCCGCAGAGAGTACCGGCAACAACAACGCGATCGGTTCAAGCGCCCAGAGCCTGGTTTCTCGCTCTACGAGGGCCGTACACGTGGTAAGCGTATAAAGTACACGTACTCGGACGACGAGGAATTTTACACCGACTCAACGGACTTGCGCCGCTCCTCCCGCAACACCGGTACGCATACCCCTGCAGAACCCGTTACCACAGCCAGCGGACGTCAGATCCGGGCACCTAGTCGGCTCAATGGCGGGTTCAGCGCAACGGCAAGCGTTCAAGGCGACTCGGCAATGGACGCAGATGCAGAGGCTACGGGTGGTGAGGAGCGTGAGCTCTCGCTTGGTCCGACTGGCCGGCCACGCCGATCAGCTGCTGTGAACCACAGCATGAACGGTTGGAACAAGAAGCAGCAAGCGGATGAGTATGACGAGTACGACTCGCAAGCCGACGAGGAGGAGGACGAGGAGGAAGAGGATAACCACAGCGAACCAGACCTCGGCGACGATGAAGAAGACGAGGACGAGGAGGCCTTCGATGAGGACAAGGATGCTATGCTTTTGGATGACGAAGAGGAGGCCGAGCTGGCCGATAAGAGCAACAGCAGTGTTATGGTCAAGCTCCCCGTCAAGGCCGTGCTGGACCAGGGGACGGGCAAGTGGGAGAAGGGAGACGCATCAAACGAAACCGCAGCGGCGTCGGACGCCGGAGCCGCAGCGGCTACATACACGCAGCGGCTCTCGGGCGCCTCGACACCGGTCAACGGTAACAGCAAAGATCACGACTACGGCGATGCCGACGCTACGATGACGGGCTCGATCACGCAGGGCAGCAATGCGACAGCAACGTCGCCGGTCGTACAGCACGTGACATCCACCGGGAAAGACGAGGCATTGGCGGACAAGCCCGTAGCCAACATCAACAACAACGACACGCTTCCGGAAGACGCCGCCAAGGAGCTCATCCACGCGGAGACGCCTGGCAAAGAGAACAGCGTACACGCAAACGCGACGTCGGCAGCACTGGCTTACCGGGGCAGCCCAGAGAAGACGCACCAGACACCGCGACCTGTGGATGTTCCTGGAAACTAGAAACCGGGGCATACATAGACGGGTCGAGTTGTGCTTTTCGGTTTTATGTTTATATTGCCATCTTTTGTTTTATGCTTTACTCGGACCTTCATATTTGAGAATTCATTATGCATTGCGGCATTATCTTTACAAATTAGGGCCGGTTTTGTTTCGTTGAGAAGGAGGCGAGTTGGTGCATCCACAATAGATAGGATTGGTTTTCTTGAGCGCCTTTGTTTTCTTACGGTTTCTTTGTTTCTTCCAGTGTCCTCTTTAGCTGTGTATATATATTTCTGTCGTTTTATTCATCTGCTTCTGATTCCTGTAACACCATAGTTGGCATATAATCTCGCTACATACCATTCATATCATGCTATAGATGCCTACCGAGGTCGTGTATCACGAGTTAACGAACTGCAATTTAAGTTGTTGGCCATCTCTGTGCCTGTCTAATTCAAAACACCGTGCCGTGGGTGTGGTATGTGCTGATATGTGCCTATATGTACAGATTGTGCCTTCTTGCCTACCATCCTTCCTCGTCCTCCCCACTAATACTGCGTATTTACGGGGCGCCGTTCTGCCGCCGACGCCACCGTAGCCAGTGCTCCTGTTCCTGGGATCGTCCAGTTGTTCACTCCCCACCACCATCGCCTTACACGCGCGCCCACAGACTGCCCGCTCAACTTCGAGGCGCGGTTCCAATACTGCCATCCGCACACCGCCAGGTTGTAGAGCAGGCCTTGCACGAACGGCATCAGGAGCTGGTCGCGCACCGTTACCAGTCCCACCTTCCACCACGTGTCGGCCGCCGCCAGGCTATGGAGGTAGCTCTGCTCAAAACGTAGGTCGGGGAGCGGTGGGAGCTGCTGGTGTGGGCGCGAGGACGCGCGTCCGCCGTAGTGGGTGCTCCGGTCCACGGTCGGGTCCCACGGCCGAATGATGCTGTACGGGCTCTCTCCGGCCTCGCCTTCGCCCTCGTCCTCCTCATCGTCTAGCGCGTCAAGCTCAAGCGGGTCTTCGTCGAGCTCCGGCACCGCACCGTGTCGTCTGGTTTTGCGGCCGCTTACTGTCTCCAGCACAACCGGCTCACGGACATCGGCGGCTGTCGATGGCGCCAGATCACGCTCGGCCGACGGGTTGTGGACGATGTGGGCCGTCTGTAGCGTCTCCGCGATCTGGAGGGGAACGGAGGAGGACATTGTGAGTGTGTCGGTGCTGCTGAGTTTCCGCGACAATGGGGTCGGGATAGAATGCGGTCCCCGGTTCCGGCGTGGTTGTCTGCGCGCTATTTCCCGATCCTATCGTTCCGCGCCGCTCGAGGGGTGTTTGCTGTGGGTGGGCGCGAACACCTGAATCGACAGCTATCGAGTACCTTTGTCCTTGCTTCTGCTGGACGTCATACGGCGGTTGTGGCCCGTGCGCTGCTGACTACGACGGCCCACAAAAGCCCGATACAGCGTTTGCACACCACCACAAAGGGACTTACAGCACCAGCGCATTGCTTGTGCCCCTCCATATCGCCTTCCCGAGTGAGTCGACGACCCGGCGAGTGCGCTGGGCCGCATTTACTGGCGAGGAAGACAGGGCACACCTACTAACCCGCCCAACACCACAGCGACGACAGAATTTTCACTTGCCGCTCACCAAGTAAGATATATTGGTCCAAAAACACATGCCCCGAATTTTTATTTTAGCCCCGCCATCCACAGCCCACTCTCCCCTGTCTCTTGGCTACTGCACAACCTGCTTTTGGTCGTGCCTTCCCAATTTGCCGTTGTTTGCTGTGCTGGCAAGCGTCCTCTGTCCCTCCTTCCCTGGCCTGTAAAACCCACCTTCTTTCTGTCGCCGTTTTCACGACTTCCGGTTGTTTGCTCCTATTTTTCTTTGTTTCCTTGTCTATTTTCTGTTCACCACAAACCGAAAAGCTCTTGAGGACAGAACTCGCAGGAAAGTCAACCACGCAAACGACATCCATAGGTCCAAGGCCTTTTGCGGAATTTTGTTTCAGCCTCGCACCCTTTTTTCGATCCTCGAACCTTTATATTGTTTACAACCCCCCCAAACCGCCAAGATGAGCGACCCCCAGAGCAATGAGGCCGAGAAGAACGTTAGTTGTGCCTCTCCGATGCGAACGGATGCCGTCGCCCCCGGCCCAGCTTCACCTCGTTTGCGTCTGCTAACACCCTCCTAGATCGAGATGTGGAAGGTGAAGAAGCTGATCAAGCGGCTCGAAGCTGCTCGCGGCAACGGAACCAGCATGATCTCGCTGATTATTCGTGCGTAATATTCCACCTCCCGTTCGTTGTGGACTTTGGGTTGTCTCTCGAGCAGAGAGAGGCATTGGACAGGACTGCCAACTAACAGCCTCGCAGCGCCCAAGGACCAGGTCTCGCGTATCTCCAAGATGTTGGCCGAAGAATACGTACGTCACAGCTCCCGCAAAGCTTGGCTTCCCGCACGTTGCGCACCACTAACACAGCTTTCCTCGCCAGGGCACCGCCTCGAACATCAAGTCGCGTGTCAACCGCCAGTCGGTGCTGTCCGCCATTACCTCGACCCAGCAGCGCCTCAAGCTTTACAACAAGGTCCCGCCCAATGGTCTTGTCGTGTACTGTGGTGAAATCCTGACCCAGGAGGGCAAGGAGCGCAAGGTCAACATTGACTTTGAGCCCTTCAAGCCCATCAACACCTCGCTGTATCTCTGCGACAACAAGTTCCACACCGAGGCCCTTGCCGAGCTGCTCGAGTCCGACCAAAAGTTCGGCTTCATCATCATGGACGGTAACGGCGCTCTCTTCGGTACGCTCAGCGGCAACACGCGCGAAATTGTGCACAAGTTCTCTGTTGATCTGCCCAAGAAGCACGGTCGTGGTGGTCAGTCCGCTCTGCGTTTCGCTCGTCTGCGTGACGAAAAGCGCCACAACTACGTCCGCAAAGTGGCCGAGTTGGCCGTGCAGAACTTCATCACCAACGACAAGGTCAACGTGGCCGGCCTCATTCTAGCTGGTTCCGCCGATTTCAAGAACGACCTCAACGCTTCCGACATGTTCGACAACCGTCTGGCGGTCAAGGTCATCAAGGTCGTCGACGTGTCGTACGGTGGCGAGAACGGCTTCAACCAGGCCATTGAGCTGTCGTCGGAGACGCTCGGCAACGTCAAGTTCATCCAGGAGAAGAAGCTGATCGGCAAGTACTTTGAGGAGATCAGCCAGGACACCGGCCGCGTTTGCTACGGTATCGAGGACACGCTCAAGGCACTGGAGCTCGGTGCCGTCGAGACGCTAATTGTGTTCGAGAACCTCGAGATCACGCGCTGGGTGCTGAAGGACAGCAACGGTGCCGACATCGTCCTGCACACGACCAAGCAGCAGGAGACTGGCAACCGCGAGAAGTTCCTCGACAAGGCGACCGGCCAGGAGATGGAGATCTCGTCGCAGGAGTCGTTCCTCGAGTGGATCGCCGAGCACTACAAGGACTTTGGTACCGCGCTGGAGTTTGTGTCGGATCGCTCGACCGAGGGCAACCAGTTCGTCAAGGGCTTCGGTGGCATTGGCGGTCTCCTGCGCTACAAGGTCAACTTCGAGCAGTTGGCTGAAGTGGATGACGACGATGACTACTACGATGATTGACAAACTGACTCCCTCGTGAGCAGCGAGGGATCTGTGGCTCAAATGTTTACAACCACGGCTTCCGCCACCACAAGCTTCAGCACCACCCCAGTCACCGCCACGAACGCCGTCAGTATCGGCTGCGCAAAGAGGGACGAGATCGAGATGAAGACGGCCCCCATGGCAACGAGTTTGACAACGAGTTTGCCGTGGGAGACTGCGCCGGCAAGAGTAGCCCCAACTACAGCCTCCGCAACAGCGGCCGCAGTTGCGGCAGTTACGGCAGCGGCAACGACCAGCTCTCGTCGACGCCTCGCTCCAGTCACCAAGATGCCACGACCACGACTACGGCCTCGCCGTCATCGCCGACGCCCGCCAAGCGCCCCAAGCCCCACGGACGGGGTCTTGACATTGCGAAAGCGGCCAGTGCGGGCGGCGACCGAGGCCATCAGGTGACCCGGCCGAGCCCGCTCCGCTCCATGATGACGGCAACGTAAACTTGAGTCCCAAGAATGAAAGGGTAGGTGCTTACCTGAATTTATTCTTGCTCCTTCGGTTCGTTTTCTGACTCGAGTGTATAGACGACTAGATGCATGTTTTGTTTGCAGAGATCTGCGACGGTCCCTTGTCCGGGCAGATTTTTGCTTGTGACGGTGTAGAGGATGGAAAGGTTGTGGAGGAAAGTCGAAAATAAACCGAAACCTAAAAATCAGTAGTTAAGGTGCAGAAAACAACAGAAATTCAAGATAGGGGCCAACAAGCGAAGACGGACCCTCCCCAAGACATCGCCCACTGCGTGAAAATGAATGTGCACGACACATCTTTTATGTGTCCTCCTTATGTCAAATGTTAGGCGTACGGCATCTGGTGGGTTCTGCTGATCAGAGACAGTACCATGAGCGGCGCGTTGGTGGGACGTTTACATGCCAAGTAGGGTCATACTGTCCTCGTCTTCAAGTATTGCCGTTCAATTTGGCATGTTACGTGAGTTTCTCACCATATATTTCACCATTTCCACAGCCGCATCGTCCCTGGTTTCCAATTGACGCTGTGTACGGGAAAGACCCACTAAAATTCAAAAGTATCTCTTACCCACCCTCAGCTAAGTAGCACGCGTTTTGGGGGCCTGTTTTAAGTATTTTTTTTTTGTTTAAAAAAAAGACGGCCCAAGAAGCTCCTTTCCCCCTCCTTCATCAGCTAGGCCGCTCTAAGTTGGGGTTCCTGAACGTCATCCAGCCGGTTCAAACTTTGATAGATTCTGCCATTGACCGGAAATCTCCAGAGAAGAGTCGGCCATTGACCAGGACGCTTCCAATTCCACCCTCATTCAGCACCTGCAATCCTTCTTCCGAATAACACAGAACTTCCACCCCAAAAAATGACACGGCCAGCCGTGGCCTTTCTGGGACCCGTTGCGTCTTATACACACCAGGTGCGTTCCGTGACTGTTTCCGATATAGCAAAGAACGGGCATATGGTCCCATCTTGCCTTCCTTCCTTTTCATCCTGCACCAGTGCTAATTTCGTCTTCCTCAAAAGGCTGCCAAGTCGGTCTTCGCTGGCACAAGCAACGAGCTGTTACCAGTCAGCACCATTAAGGGTATTTCGCCCTTGCTCTCACCCTCGTCTTACTACTCACATTTACGTATACACGCTGACCACCCAAGATGTCTTTGAGGCCGTCCGCAATGGCGACGCGGCGTACGGCGTCGTGCCCTTTGAGAACTCCACACACGGCCCGGTGACCTTTACACTGGCCGCCCTCGCCGACCGCGACGGGGCATATGGCGAGCTGTCCGTCTGCGGTGAGACTTACCTGGCCGTGCACCACTACCTTCTCGGGCGGCGGAGGCTGCAGTCCTCAGGCGCTGACGGCGCGGCCGCTGACCCTTCTGCTACGGGCGTGCCCCTCGCTTCCCTCGACCACATCGCCCGCATCCACTCCCACCCACAGGCCTTCGGCCAGACCACTGCCTTCTTTCGGCGGTACTTCCCTGACGCCAGCCGCCGGCCTGAGATGATCGATGCCAGCTCCACCAGCCGCGCTGCCGAGCTAGCTGCTGCCGACGAATCGGGCACCAGCGCGGCCATCTCGAGCGCCATGGCCGCCGAGACGTCTGGGCTCGACGTGCTGGCGCGCTGCATCGAGGACCGCGCCGACAACACAACACGATTCTACGTCCTGCGAAAGAGCCCACCACAGGCACCCGCGACGACACCAGCAACAATGTGCCCCAAGTCGCTCGTCTCGTTCACGGTGCCACACCGCAGTCCCGGTGCCCTGGCAGACGTGCTGGAGTGCTTCCGTCGGGCACGGCTGAACTTGACGAGCATCAACAGTCTGCCGAGTCTGGTGCTGCCGTTCCAGTACCTGTTCTTTGTCGAGTTTGAGCACGGCGACGAGCCCGAGAGCAAAGAATCCGGTGCAGAAGCTTCGACAGACTCAGCATCGACGGGAGAGACGGCAGATGCGAGAGTGCACCGGGTGCTGGCCGAGGTGGCCAAGGTGGCAGAGACGCATCGGTTATTGGGCACGTGGAATAAACCAGAGCCATTGTCGTGAGAGAAAAGCGCAGATAGAATGGTCTACGAAAGGGGTGAAGGGACATTTGCATGTCATTAAAAAGCATATGTACAGAGAGATTCTAATGTGAACACGTCCGGTACTTTATTTTTTTTAAAAAAAAAATAGAAAAATAAATACAAATATGAGATACTTGCAAAATAAGACCATATACATACTAAAAAATTACGCCAAGACAGGTTGACGTTATGACTTCACAATTGCGATGCTGTAAGAGTCATTTCTTGAATACCAAGCCGGTGTTGAGTTGTAGTGTGTGCCTGGATATCGTAGCTCGGTCTGCCGAGAACGCTTGCCTTAGTTCTCCACAATTTCTCCAAGTCGAACCTCTCTTCTTACAAGTAAAGCCGTGTGCGACCTCCCCATAAAGACACGGCTCTGCACCCTCGCCGCGCAGCCCATGCTGCATTAATTCCAACATTTTTTTTCTATCCCGGGCCATAGTCACCAGCCAGTGCCACAGACATACAGAGAATGTTACAAACTTTGCGGCTGCAGGCCCCAAAAGGCCGCCAGTTGCATTCATATCTCATCGCACGGCCGTCTTTCTTTACAGCCTCGGCGCTGAGTGCCAGTCCGCCATTGGCCTCGATCTGGTCGCGTGGTCTGAAGACGACAGTCGAAGCTGGTCAGCCCGATCCCCGAGGGGAGGCTTTCTACACTCAGCTCAACGACGACCAGCTCAACAAGGGCCTTCGGCATGAGACCAGTCTGTCCGCCGCGGGCAAACCTTTTGATGTTGAGTACCTCCGCGAGAGCATGGCGCGCCGGCCACACCGCGCTACCTACGATCACCTCTCGCCTACACACTCACACCTGCTCAACATTGCGCTCTACGATGTGCTGCCACGCAGTGCCCAGGCCGGCGCGATCCCTGATTTTCAAAAGGCTGCATCCAAAGAACTTGTGAACCCCTTTGCCCTGCCGGTGACCAAGTCTGCCACCGGTACCGCCGCCGACCACGAGCGAATCCTGCCCGCGGGCCACCATCTCGTGTACTACCCGCTGCAGCGGCCCATCTCGCTGCTAGAGCCAGACGGCACAGACCCCGCGCAGTCGCCCGGTCCGCCCTTTGTACGGCGCATGTGGGCCGGCGGCTCCCTGCACTTTCTAAAGCCCCACCAGCTGGCGCTCAACGGCCAGCGTACCGTTTGCGTCGAGGGCCTGGATACGAAGAACATGGTGATGCGGGGCGAGGCGGGTCGCGAGAAGATTTTTGTTGATGTGGTGCGGCGGTACGGCACGGCCGATACCAATAGTAGCGCCCCATTGAGCCCGGACCAGGTTCTGGAATTGGAGGACGGCGTGTGGAAGGACCCGGCCCTGGAAGAGCGACGGACGCTCGTCTTTTTGCGGGCCAAGAACGACAACGCGTCTCACGGCGGCCATGCCGCAATCGAGGCGGAGGCAAAGGCGAGGCCCAAAACCCAGGAAGAGCGGGTCATCAAAGGTGAGTAGCGAACGGGGAAAGCCAAAAAAAACAAGCCCTCCTCCCAATACAAAGACTGCCATCTAATATAGTGACAACATGTAGCCAACCGGGCACCGCAGTACTCATTCTCCTTCACGCCCACCTCCACGCTTCTCTTCCAGTTCAGCGCCCTCTCCTACAACGCCCACGCCATTCACCTCGATGTCGATTACTGCCGAAACGTCGAGGGCTACCGCGACCTGCTGGTGCACGGCCCTCTGACCCTTGTGCTCATGTTGTCGGCGCTTCGCGGCCAACTGCATGAGGTTGTCCGGGCGGGTGCTAGCTCCAGTAGTCTTAGCACTGGCCACCTGCCGATACCGTACCGCTACATCCGCAAGCTGGACTACCGCAACCTTGCGCCGCTGTACGCCAACGAAGAGCTCAAGGTGTGTGTGCACCGCAATGCGCAGGACCCCAGCCGCGACGGCCAGCGCAGAGGCTTCTCCAGGTGGGATGTATGGGTCGAGAACAGTCGGGGCAGCATCTGCGCGCGCGGCACGGCCATTACATGCCCAGACACGCGCGAGCCCACGCCAAGAAATGCCGAACGGCCGGCCAGCGACGACGACCAATGGGAAGACGAATGGTACTACGAGGAGTAGCAATCTTAGCCACGCAGTTGATGGAGATATGATAATGACAGAATAAAGATTATTTTTTTAATACAACAGTGTGAGTGTATCGTTCGAAGTGCCATGCATCTATGATGTGGTATACCCAAATTATGATCCTAGCCTCAGTTCGCCAAAAATGCCATGCCTTTTAAACCAAAAGTATCCCCTCCCAAAATGTAAACTAATGAAAACAACAAAAGTCGAAATGAGTGAAATGCCCTTGAATAGATCCGAGTTGCAGCAAATAAACAATCAAATTAGGGTGGGAGTCTCCAAACGAGGTGTATTACGACTCTGTGCAGATGACATACTCAGTGCCATCCGCCATCGTAAACTTTTCCAGAATTTTGGACAGATCGGGCTCGGCGAGAAAGGCCTTCTCCAGGAATGAACTATCAAGCGTGGTATCAATGGTCGTTTCCGATGCAACCTTGGGCGTCTTGGGTAGGTCCCAGCTGAGACCCGAGCCATCGATGGGACTGTTAAGGGCTTCGTCGTCAGGCTGCACCCGATACGGCATGTCCTCCGTGATCTGCGGCGCCACCATGGATGAGTTGATGGGTTGCTGGCGTGCGGGAGTGCCTGACGCGCCGCTATGTGACGAAGATTGCGGACCCGTGGACAGCTGGTCCATAGACTGGCCGTCTGACTGGTCCTGCATATCCTGCTCCTCCTCCTCCTCCATGGGCGTCGTCGTGAACATGACACCCTCGGGCATGCGAAGCTGGAGGCTTGGCCAGCCCCGCTCTCCGCATGTGTCGTACGCCTCGCCCAAGTCGAGGACGCAGCCCGTGTCCTGCTGCAGCTTGGTCATGTTGCGCGACATGTACGACATGATCTCTGAGGCCGCTGCCTCGATCTCGCCTCGCAAAAGTTCCTTTTGGCGCTCCAGGCCGGGATCGACTGTGGGGCCAGACAGCTTCTTCTTGTGCTTTGAGTTGGACGGCTGTGTCGGAGATGGCGGAGGAGGAATGTCTTTGACGCAATGCTTCAGCACATCCTCGAGATCCTCAGATGAGAACGGATACACAAGAAGGGTGGTGTTGGTCTCGAGGCTCTTAGCCATGTAGAGCAGGCTGGTGGCATTGAACCCGTTGTCACCGCAATCAAGGTATAGCAGGGCCTTGTTAGCCTGCACGGCTGTGCCGAACGTGCCCGTGCTGTCGTGCAGTCTCTGGTTGCGCACGCGAAGGTGTGTCAGCGTCTTGTTGTTCGCGAGGCCTCGAAGGGCACGGCCGAAACCTTTGCCCAACTGTCCATCGTCCAGCTTGCCACAGTAGCCAGAAATGTCAAGGTATCGCACAGACTGATTCTCCTCAAAGAAACGTTCCAATGCTTCGATCGTGTTGTCGCTGCAGGCGTCATCGGTGACCGGAACCGGGGCGGTACCGACCAAGCTCAAGTAATCGATGAACGGGTTCGAAGCCAGGGCACCCATAAGCTGAATGTACTTTGCCTCGTTTTGGAACTCGATCATGTTGAGATGCAGACCGAAGCGGCCGCCCCAGTTGTGTCCCAGTGCCGAGACAAAGTCCTCGATACCATCCTCGAGAGGATTGCTGCTGAGGTGGAGGTGGATGTCGTACAGGCCAGCCATGGCATTGAAGATGCGGCCAGCTAGATGCCCCGTGATGCCGCAGTTGTTCAGCACCAGGCGTCGGAGAGAATAGCCGTAACCGCCGTTCTGCATAGATGCTTGGCGTGCCGATAGGGTTTGTAAGAACGTCTCCAGGGCGTTGATGGAACTCTCGTTGAGCTTGAAGTTCGAGATGTCCAGCACTTCGAGGTACTCAAGCCGGTCGAGGACCTCAAGCGGAAGAAGCTCGCCCTCAAAAGTGCCCGTGATGCCACTCGCGAGGTTGAGTTGTCTCAGGCTACCGACCGATTCCATAAATTGCTGGATCAGAGCCGCCGGCGCACGGCCAAAGTTCTGTGACACATCCAGCATTTGAAGTGTCCAAGCTGACTGTGAAAGCGCCTGGAACAGCATTTTCATATGCAGGTCAGCCAGGCCACAGCTGGCCACATCGAGGGCTTCCAGGCTGACAGCCTCCTGTCCTGGAGCAATAACGCCTTCAGGCTGATCACTAGCTGAAGGGGAGATGCACCCAGCTTGCAAACTGTTAGTTCTCCAATGTCTTGCCATCTACCATATGTCTCCGCAAGAAATAGGACGTACCAAGACTATCAACGTCAATATCCCCTAGGTGACAACCCCGAAGGAGAAGGCGGTTGCAACGAGTGAGACCAGCGGCTAGAAGGTTCATGATAGGAACGACAAACTGAACGCTGCGGCTGCTCGCATCACCGTCCTTAGAAAGCGCCGGGAGACAGTTGGTGAAGTCAATTTGTCGGACTTTGCCAGAGGAGAACGCCAGAGCGTGGAACTCCTGGTAGAGGATGCTGGCCTTCTGTACCAGAGAGGTTTCGTGTGGGGTTAAGCAGACTCCTAGATCGAGGGATTAGTTGAAGTTCGAAAACATCGAGGCTAAAATGCACCAAGGCGAACCTTACCATTGCGACTCAAGTAAGCGACGTTTCCCTTCCTGGAGCTGTCAAACTTGCCAAGGAGACCAGACAAGTCGACGTCGCAAAAAGAGAGGGATTTGAAGTAGTCATTGTACCGCAGGGCGCGCAAAACAGCAAGCAGCTGCAGATCAGTGTACACCCCCTTTACTGAAGGAAGTACACGGAACTCGGGTGCAAAGGGCGTGCGCCAGTTAATTTCCCAGTCCACAGGGTTGCAACGGTATGCAGCATAGAAAGCAGAAAGTGTCCTTTGGAAACCACCGAAATCCTCGCCAGCGACAATGTGCTGAGGCGTTGGGAGGCCGGCAACGTGGAACACCTCTTGGATCTGCCACTGAGTCGGCCAGGCGGGCTTCAGGAACTTATCGGCTTTGGTGAGTGTCAGGATGATGCGGCGGTAGTGACGACTTGACAGCTCAAGGCCAACAGGGCTCTTGAAAGGATCCCGAAAGCGCATAGCAAACCGCTCATCTCGAGACGTCCAGTCAGCTGCAAACGACTCCAGTGTGACAAGGCCACAGGTTTGGTACTTCATCTCGAGGGCAGTCGATTGCACAGCAGAGGCGCGACTAATCTGTATAAAGAAACACAGGTTCACACCAACAACCAAGTAGTGAGACGAGACACCTTCAATCTGACCCTTTCTGAGTTGCTTGTCGTCTGCCTTGGATTTGATACGATCGGGCGCGTTCCGGTAGACAACAGGGAAGATCTCGGGGATGGTGTTGGTGAAGCCTGGCTCCTCTGCTTGGAAGACCTTGCGGATGCACTCTTCCACTTCATAGTAGACACGCGATGCGTCAGGCTGGTCCTGGTTGCGCATCTTGACCATGGAGGCAAGCATATCGAGATAATTCTCCCGGTCACGGCCGTCCTTAAAGTAGATGGTCGAGCTGCAAGTAGCAATAGCAGGATATGGCATGCGCCACCAAATCTCAATGCCATACGGGGGACGCATGGTGTCAGCGCGAAAGACAGAGATGATTGCGTGTAGTGGAATAACATGGACCGGGTCGGCGGGTGGCAGCATGGACGAAGGTTTGGACGTCGTAGCGCTCTCCGGGCTCTGGGCAGCAACGTCGGCTAGTTGAGGGAGGGCAGCAAAGGCATCGGCTCGCGTCTTAAAGATGATGATGTAGTCGGCTGTGGCAACGAGGTAGCTTAGCCGGTTCTTAGAAGACAGGGACTCCGGGTAGTCGAGCGAGGTGTGCATCTCGATGGGTTGAATGCGCCAGTCAATGACGTTGCTGGAAGAGCTGCCGCTCATGGTGGTCGAGGCCCGGGACATGCGGCTAAAGACATCAGAACTAGTCGAGCCGCGACGACTGTTGAGCTCATGGCTGGACGACTTGCGCTTGTGTGACTTGCGAAGGACTTTGCGGGGGAATTGTGAAATGAACTGCTGCTGCGGTGAAGAAGACGACGGCGTCACGTCAGGCGGGGTGGCTGCCGTGTTCATGGAGGTGGTAGAGGACGCGGCCGACTGACGTATCGACGCATTCGAACCACGGCTCAGTGTCCGCATAGCTCGTGGCATATAGCCATGGAAGAAGCCGCTCTTGTTGCTGTCAATGGAGCTCGTACGCGAGTTGGTGGTTAACCCAGTCATGTCATTATGTGACCTGGACTTGCTGATGGCCGCAGTAGATGAGCCTCCTTTGGATCCGCTGCTTGTGCTTGAAGAAACGCCATCGAGAGAAATGGGTGACACGGGTGAGATGGGCGTAAAAGTGAGCGAGGGAGCAGAGGGCGGCGGCATACTGGCCTGCTGCGTGCCATTGCTTCGTTTCCGGCGGAGGATATCCATTGTGTGAGCTTTACGAGGCTGATGAGATGTTGATGACGTGCGGCCGACGTTTGCTTGGGCCGAATTCAAAATTTCACTTGTGAGGCAAACAAGGCAAGCCTCGGTGGGCAGCCCAAGGCTTTTGTCGATGTCTTTCCGATCAGGTGAGCTGAGTGCGGAGGCGATAAGGATAAAGGAAGTGGGCCGATGTCGACGCAAGCTGTTTTGGAGCTTGGGATCGCCGTCAGTCAGCAACAGGAAGACGGAGTGGGCGCCAAAGCAGGTATTTTCCAAGTATTTGCCAATGGGGACTAAGAAAACGACTGGCAAGAGACCATGAAAATAAGAAAAAGAGGGGGGTTTCGGAGGAGTATACGAAAGAAGGCGAAAGAAAAGAAAACAAACAAAAACTAAAAGAACAATGACCGAAGTTGCAGAAGATGGCGATCGGTTTGATTTTGGAGAAAAGGGTTGAAAACAGGTCGAAAGTATGACGAAACGAGACGATAAAAGCAAGAAACAAAACGATGGTCACAAGAAAACGTCGGGTAACGGCCGATTTGGATACAAGCAGACCGAGCGAGAGCAGAGTTGCAGTTTTAATGAGTGAAAGTCATGAAAGAATGAGGATAAGGTGTCGGGGAACACTACTCGACCCAGGCCCAAGACATCAGTGACATGGAAAGGCGAGGCAAACGAGAGCCGGACGAAACGGATAAGGTGGACAGAGACGAGCAGAGACGAGCAAAGACGAACGAGACGAAGGACAATGCCGCAACGAGAATGGCTTCTCTGTCCGTCAAATGTCTGACGTTGTTCTTTTCGTCTTCGTTTCCTCTCTTTTCTCTCGTTTGTGAATAACTCTCGTCTTCGATCGTTGGTAGATGAGGCTTTGTCAAATCCGAGTCAATTGTCTCAGCCGCATTACGGTGTCCGACGTGGTGCCAGACAAAATCAAGTGAGACCTGGCCGGAAACAGAAGACGACGGGCGGATATATGCTGGACAGCAGCAGCGTGGAATTCGGTGCCACGCGAGCCTGTGGAATGGGGCAAGACGGTGAGGCGAGCGAGGGGTGGGAGAGCGAGCAAAAGCTTACGACGAAGAAAAAAAGAAGGAAAAGAAGGAAGGGGCAATGAGGCTATTCGGAGATCAGAAAACGTCTATGAAAAAAATAAAAAACAATGCCACGACCAGCTCCTGGGATTCTGGGAAGGAGCACAACACACACACACACAGCACACACAGAGCGCTGGGCAGCCGATAATCTAGTCCTTTTACGTCGAGAAGTGTGAAAAAGCAGGGAAGGCGCACTCAGCTGTCGGTGTGTTTGCCTTGCATGGCCAGTAGTTTCCTTGTTTTGGATTAGTGCCATCGAAGCAACCCATTAGCGTGGGTTACATCAAGCCCTTTACGAGGTTTTTGGACGAAGGCAGGAGGTGACAGCTGCGTGCATCAGATTACGAAGTCGAGCAGACCCTGGAATGGGGAAAGGAAGGAGCGAACGAGGGGAGACACGAAATGACGAGAATGGAAAGGAGTGATGCTCGTCGTGTCTGCAAAAAGGGAAAGAACCTTCGATGTACAATATACGGCATACACCAAACAGCGAAGGGCAGGAACGGACGGAAACAGAAGCTATCTGGCGGTCCGCCGATCCTTTTCCCCTTAGACCGTAGCCCTTCACCAGAGGCAGGAACGATGAAGAACCACACCACACTAGAGGCCACAGCTATCTGTGCTGACATTTCTGTACGAGGTCTTTGGAGTATCCTGTGCTACGACGACGATGGTGGTCCACGACGGACGGCGTAGAGCAGTCTCAATAACAGTGTGCTAACGAAGCAATTAAGGCCGCGAAATCTCTCCGAGACGACTAGTAAGGAGCGATAGCCGGCGGGAGATTTTCGTGACGTCCATGTTGCTATCTGCTTTTGCCGTCTTTTTTTCGGTCCTTTCTTTTGAAGGTCATCTTGAGTAATTATGAGTACGAAATAGATTGTGCGAGGTAGGCAGCCGATGATGTTATGTTATCGTCTGTTTCTTCCGAGGCGGGACATTGGCCAATGGGATTGGCGCGGGGACCACGAAATGCCAAAAAAAAAAAAAAAAAAAAAAAAAAAAAAACAAAACAAACTAGGGAGTGTAGACTGGCCAATCAGACCTCTTGTTGACTCTCACGGCTTGGCCGAGTTGGAAAGCTCAGCTCATGACACAGTACGGCTCCGCTACGTTCGGCGGGCTAGTGTGGTTTTGCAGGGCTTGGGTTTTGGCTCGCAGGGTTCCTGTGTCTAAGATTGTGGATGCTTTGGATGGTGTGGCGGCTGCTTTCGTCCACTGCGAATCTTTATCAGGAACTGACTGGAATTCTCTTGTCTCAGAAGCCAAGTGCTTGCCCGCCTTGGGCCGGGCCAAGAAGGTCTGTAACAGATTCTTGCCCGGTTAGGAAATTTCACTCGTTCGTCAAGACAGTTGAAGAACGTCATTGAAGTGAAAGGGAAGCGAGGCACCGACGGGTTGAAAAAGTATTTCACCTGCACGGCGGGCATATCTGACTTTGGTGATCTGATGTGCGCTCGCTCATCGACACTAGGTTCCTAGGTTCCACTGAGTGCGACACTGCGAGGCTCCACAGAGCAGGGCAAAACCTGTCGAGCTACCACTGATACGACGCAATGGGGTGTAATAATCAGAACGCTTAAGTGCACGAGCGAGACGAACAAGATGGAGAACTGGAAACGAGCGGAGAACTACGTGCCCGAAAGGCTATGCATGGTGCGCGTCTTATGGGGGCATTGCGTTGTTGTGGGCCTGTTCTTGAGCCTTGGTGGAAACCATAGAGACTATCGAGAAGATGAATCGGGTGGCCAAGCAGAGAGAAACATGCCGACGGGAGAAAGGAGATCGATTTATGAAGACTGATCCTTAACTTAGTAGCAACGACCCACAGCTCCTTCGCTGAATCTTTTCGCCAAAGTGAGGGGCGCTTGGCTACGAGATGCATGGTTGTTTTCCTGTGTATCAGCATGGGGCCTCGTTCCTTGCGAAGTACGTGGCCGATGGTAAGTATCATTGGCCCCATGTTTCTTGCTGTCTTGTTTTCTGCTGATATTTCCTTCTACGCTTTGTTTGTTTACGGGGCATATGCTACGTCTTTATCCTTTGGGGATTTTGGAAGATGACTAGTATGCCACGGCCACGAGTCTTTTAAAGTGGAAAGAGCATTACCCTTTACGCCGTGCGACATAAAAACAAACGTGCTTGCTCAAGCTGAGCCAGAGAATGACCAATAATAGCCCCTTGTAAACAGCGAACGACGGGCCGTTTGTTTCTGAGTGGCGGCTGCATCCTCGCTCATTTGCCGCTTGCATTGTCACGTTGAGCTGCTCTTTTTTACTACACGTTATCAGAAAGGAGGTGTCTTTGTCTGTCTACGCACGAGGGCAATTGATCCGAAGCTCGGGGACGGTGAACGGCTAATCCGGATCTTCTCGTGCGATTTTGTTCGCGCACTCACACCTGGAGAGTGAGCGAAAACGGGGCGTGGGAGACTGACCACCACCCATGCTGGCTCGTATTTGTCGTCAGCCTGTCGACGTGTGCGACTGTGAAATGGCAGAGTGTGGGACGCAGTAGCTCACGCTCAGGCTCTTGTCCCCCCGTGCCCCTGTCTGTAGATATCGTAAACTATATATATCGTATGTGTCATGTGAAGGGGAGATAAAGCACATGAAGCAGGTTGTTCATTGAAATAGTGAAAATGAATGGGACATCCAAATCGGCATGATGCGAATGTTTTGTTTCACACGGGATGGGGCCGCTAACTCTCGTTTATCGCGCAAAGACGCCAGTGTTCCGGCGATGCTGGGTGTGACACACGGATGCTCTCAATTCTATTTTTTTGTTTCGATCTGCAATGGCCTACGAATAGTAGATTTTGGTTTGTTTTTAGAATTGCACGGAGTAACCCGTATTCTCCGTTTTTATGTAGCTAGGTGAAGATGACGAAGATATCTGTCAACAAGGCCACCATCATTTCCCCTACACAAACGGGTTGCTTCTGCTTCTGTTTCTGTTTGTCTTCATGTTTACAAGGAGGAAAATATTGACTTGATAAACTCCGTGTTTGATAAACTATTGTGAGCCAGGCATCCGAATTGTCATCGGTCACAAATTTGTCTGATAACATTATATTTGCCAGACGCGGTGAGCATGAAGTACCAGCTCTCCTGTTGGCCATTGTTTGATTCGGCAAACCACGGAGTATCCTGGTACCCATTGCTTCCTGCTGCTCTTTTTGCTACCGGTCGTATGCGCATGGGGTTCCAGCGCCTGCGTCGAAACACAGCAGGTTTCAAGATGGCATGCCCCCTTACTTTGTGGAGGGGTTTTTTTTTTTTTTACTCGGGAGCTGGTGAGCACTTTTTTGTTTCTTGGTTGTGTGCCAATCATCTGCAAGACACACGCGAACCAGGCTCCCACCTTTGTCATCCTTTTGCGAGGTTTTGTTCAACCGCCGTATTTCATCGTAGATGCATTTCCCATCCCGTATGTCCCCTGTCTTCTTCCCCTGCCACTCTACCCTCTCACTTTCATAAGATTAGCAGTGATCGACAGCTCCTTATCAGCCCTAGTGACTCGGAAGCATAAATCGCTTTTTGTCACAGAGATCCGCGACTGTTCGTCATCATATCTCGTCACTCTGGACGTCGTATGCGGCGGCTCTACCAGTCTTTATCCCCTGACATATCGGGCATCCCATACAACATATGTCGTACAGTGAACTGTCTTTTGCCTCTCATCGCACTTGTGAGAGTTTCGCTTGCTTCCTTTTGCCCACTTTCGCCTATCGTGACCACCACCGGCTTTCATTCTATTTCCCTTCTTGGCTTCTTTGAATGTGGCTGGAGCACGTCCCGTTCCCCGGCATTAATCTATCAGATACTATCCGACGGCAATCGTATTCTTCATACTAGCTCGAAGTTCATTTCGTGGTGAATGCGTTGCCCAGGCACTGAAAGTCACTCAGTAACAAATTAGTCCATGATTGATCGCAGCATCCGAACACACTTTCGTGCATTCGGGCCCATGACATCAAAACTCCGCGGTAAAAAGCTTGCATCGTCATGATCGCCAACAGGGTACCTCTCCACCCCCCTTGCTACGCAATTTCGGGCACCGACACTTTGTACCTTAATTTCTCTCGTTCATGCTTTATCGTTTCATTCCTCCTACGCTGGCGCACCGCATCGTCTTTCCAATCATCTCTGGACTACACTTGCACTGTCGGCTCGTCTTGTCGGCTGCATCTTTCCTACTGGATTTACGACGTATAGCTGCTTATATGGAGTCGACTGTGATCCCTCTCTACGATGCATTTGTTCTCGTTTACTAATGCCACTTTCCGTTCGCGACGTATTAACCGTGTCTTCCGACTGCCACGATGTACGAAATACTACGACATATATGTGACACTCTTGTTTTTTTTGTCCTGGATCCCAAGCCTCTTACCATCCCTAGGTCGTCCCTTGGACCTGCCCGAAACTGCCTTTGCGCGCGCTTAGCCACGCGTTTTGTCGTCCTGGTCTATTCTCCGCCTGCCTTTGTAAATCGGCTCGACCGTTTCCGTAAACGCTGTATGCTTTGCCCGTTCTATGCTGCGTTTTCTCTGTCCGTTCTGTCGCTCGCGTTGCTTCGTGGCGTATTCGTCCTTGTGCAACGCCGTCCACCGCAAATAGAAAAGCTCAAGATTATTGCTGCCGTTTCCTCGGCCGTTTCCTCGTTTGTGTAAAATCTGCTCCAGTTAGTTATCTGGCAGGCATCGTTGCTTACCGCAACTTTGGACCCCCCCCCCCCTACCCGAAACCCCCAAACTACTGGACCCGTGTGATGTTGTGCAGGAGACAGTGTGTTTCATAAACATAGCGCCAGTGGCGGGCCCTTCGATTGCTTTTTCGCCATGTGGATGGTTGCAAGCAGGCACAGCGAGGTAGCGAGGCTTTTGTGGGTTGCAGTGGACGGCCGCGCTAAGAGGCAGGCGAGACAGGCACAAAAATACTGGCCCAAGTAAAGTGCTCAAAAGATCAGGCCTGTTGGTTGGTCTGTGCGCACTGGCACGTTTCACACCAGCTGCCGCCCGCCGACAAGCAGAAAATAGAACAAAAGTTCCTATTCTCTCTCTCATTTGTTGAAGTGTCTTAAGGGGTGCAACCAATGGACCAATCGCAAGCAACACTCTTATTTTGCCGTGAAGATGGAGTGGAGTAAGGAAGTCACAGAAACAACGGTCAAGAACATTGTAGCCGGTCAAGCGAGGGACGGGCAGGTGCAGGCAAGACATTGGAGTCGCTCGTCCAGTTCCCGTTCTTCCATAGTGGTCGCATTACCTTCTAGTCACACATCGCACTTGTTTCCGTACGGCAACTACTTTAGTACGGAGTGTTATGCTGATAAATTCAACCCACTGCCCTCCCTTTTACTTCTTTGCTATTTCCGAGCCTTCATATTGAGGCGCTGTCATGGGCAGTGTTCTTTTGATAAGCGGCTCCAGGGGTAGAAACTGGCTGATACAAGTGGATATTTTAGGCCGATTTGGGTGCGTTTCTTTTTCCAAAGGCGGCGCACGTTGCAGAAAAAGGAACCAACGGGCAGGTGTCTGCATGTTTTCTGTTCGGAGTATTTTCCATGTTGTTGCCCTTTTCAGATACAGATACGTCTGTTTCTTCCAAAGGCGCCTGGACCTGGGCTAACCCAAACGGTTCAGCCAATCCAAGCACGTCTCGTTGCACCTAAAGGGAAAGAGCACCACGCTAAAA